CTCTTCTTGTTTAATTTTTCGTTCTTCTTGTTTCTTTTCTTTTTCCTCTAACAACTGCCGTAATTTCTCTTCTTGTTTCTTTTCTTGTTTATTTTCTCGTTCTTCTTGTTTTTTTTCTTTTTCCTCTAACAACTGTTGTAATTTCTCTTCTCGTTCTTCTTGTTTCCTTTCTTGTTTTTGTATTGCTGCCATCAAATCTGCTAAGCTGTAGTTTGATTTTCCGCCTCTCGTTTCCATTTTTTTTTCATCCCACTGCTGACACCAATTTGTTACGTCTCCGTTTCTTAATTAACTTTTCGTAACTTCGTTCCGACGAAACTTTAGCGACACAAGTTCTTTACTTTATAAAACTGGTTTATTCTTTCCGAATACAACTTTACGATACACTTATTTTCAACAATCGCGCTAAAACAAACGCTATATCAACGAACGTCAATAATACTTCTGACTGCAGTTCAATTACTCACTATCTTCACACATACATTACAATATTCTCCCGTCGCGTTGTCACCCTCTTTTATATACCAGACTACCCTATATCTAGTAAATACAAGAGCATTCGCCAAGGTACGGGATAGTTCTAGAAACGTGGTGTCACACTAGTCATGTGACTCGCTGACGCAACAATACATATGGAAAAGAAACAAGTTAATTTCCTTTGATGTTACTTTGCAAGCGAGATCTCTACAATTACTTTTAGACTAACCAATTTAAAACTAAGGTTTCAAAAAATATGATATAGTGATTATATTTTTAGGATGACTTCAAATTCGATTTCTTCGACGGTAACAGAAACGGAGAAACGCAGAAGTTCCCCAAAGCTTCAAATTGTGTGGAAAAACGTCTTCATCTTTGCTTTTCTTCACGCAGCTTCTTTGTATGCCATTCAACTGGTATTCACCTCGGCAAAACTAAAGACTATTGTGTTTGGTATGTCTGTTATTTTTGTTCTTCTTGTTGTTTAAGTTGGCTTAGCCACTTTTTAATTACAAAATTTGAATCAATTTGTTGATAATCTCAGACAGAGATTTAGTATACATTAAATATTCAAGCAGTAAGATTCCATTTTAAATTGTGAGACATACGGTAAGAGTAGAAAAAGATTAATGATGACATGTCGAAAGATACTTAAATCTATTCTTGAGATTGTGTATTTTGCGTATTATAGCAGCGAGCTGAGCACAGAGTCGAATTTAAAGACAAATAAAGCCGGGAAAATTGACAAGTTTTTAGTTGGGTGACGTACATCATATTTTCACGTGCCTACTACAATTATTATATGCCCTTGACATTGAGGACTTTTCACTCATGTGACAGATACTGATAACTTGCTTTCTGACGGGTAAAGATAACAATAGACACTATATTTGTTATGGGTGATGCTAACACATGTTGTGTCCTTTCACATAGTAACTTTAGATAAGAAGATAATACAGATCACGTAGAACACGGTTGTAACTAAGTGGTTATTTGTGGGGTACGTCTATAGGGAAGTGCTAATTTGGAAAGCTATCGTGACGTTGAGTGTTTGTTCTCGTGCTTCTACCATGTCAGATCTGTTTCTCCCTGTGATGATCATGAATAAAGCTTCGATTTAATACTTTTTGACATCAGAATTTTCTGTTGTTATACGTGAAAATATATATATAAAAAAGGACATATTATATTCAGTCCCAATCTTGTCGTGCACGATACCAGTTTCACGTTACAAAATCTCACTATATATTGAAGTAGTATAAATCTACGACCACACAGTGCAGATAATATACAGTTATTGCAAACAAATCCCAATGAAAACGCGTAATTTCTTTACGTATCACGTGCTGTATTTTATATTTCATTTAGCGTACGTAGAGCCATATTAATTTTTACTTACAAAATGTGAGCTCAACGTGTTCGATTTGAGTAGCTGATCATTCACGAAATATTGTTTAAGTTTAATAACGAACATATTGTGGTTGTACATAGCCGTACCAGTTAAATGCAGACAGGATTTTGTAAATTATCTCCACAGCTGCTCGCGTAGAGATATTGATCACGTGCGAACTTTTTTTTTTTCCTGTGAGTCTGGACGTCTATCTATTGCGAAGTAATGCACCAATTGTCGTTATTTAGGCACGTGCAGTTATTGTTTAATTTCTGTTGTCAAGGCGTTAAAACAGTAATGTATATGAGGCTTCTTACTGATAGACGAGATAAAATACAGACCTTTAGAATGTAAAATGAAACATCTTGGCTCCTCCCCAAGTAACGAAACCTAAACCATAATCATCTGACTTATGTCAGACATCGACGTTTCAAATGGGTATAACCTGGTCAAGGAAACGAAAGTTTTGAGTTTACATGGCTTTAAAAGGAAACTTATAGCTAGTATAGTGTTTACTGCAATTATTTTTGCACATTGCAGTTCATAATAATAATAAAAAAAAAAGTACTTGTCAATAAAACTTGTATCAGTTTAATGTTTGGTATATGTAAAAAGACGTTATCCTATTGCACACTAAGAAGTTTCGGTTAGGTGTAAAAGACTTTATACTAATTTTTTATTATTATCATAAACGGAATATTACTTGAACATTAGGCCCCTCACGGGGGTAGCGTGGGACACAGTTCGTTTGAGTATCATGTCTTTGTGTATCGAACAATAGATTGCATTCGTGACACATTCATGGGGGTAAAAAGTGAAAAACGAAAACCATAATTGTTGTTTTTTATTTTATCAAACTGAAGTAAAACAAAGGAGCATAGTTTTAATACAAGAAAATAATATATGAACGCTGTGAGACTGCAAATAAAGCTTATACGATTTACAAATAGCATCGAAATCGTAAAATATATCTACAGGCTTTTTTTTTGTTGTTGCTGTTGTAAAGGGTAGAGAGCTAGACAATAGGCTATTTGTGATGTTCCAGTGCAGGAATCAAACCTCGAATTTTAGCATTATATGTCTTCCAACTTGTAGCCGAACCATAGGAAAGGAGGGGGCTTGTAAGATTCATAATAAAGCTACAGAGTGATCATCCATTGTTTAATTTTATTGAAATTTGAAAATATTTCACATCAGTGTATAATATTGATTTAACAGCTGGTCCAAAGTCATCTCTATATCCATCCCCTGTTTTTCTAAACATAAAAAAATTATTGCCAGACCTTTGAACAGATTATTTAATTAATCAACATTATTTTTTACATTTCAAAGGAGCTAAAAAAACTATTTTTTTCTTTATTTATTATCAGACTATAAGAGTTTAAGATTTGACACTTTAATGCTTAATTTCACTTGTTTAATGCACAATTTAGTTTTATCATCACCAGTAGAACACTTTGCAGTGAAGTTTGTCTTGATTAACACTGACTTCTACATTGAATGTAAAATATTATGCTGATGTCGTGTAAAACTCTGAAAGATCTGTGTGCATAATGGAATCTTTTTTGCTTGATGATTTGCATCAGCTCAAAAAAACTCAAACTGAAGTGAAAGCATTACAGTACGGTCTATTGTTTTATAAAAGAAATATAGTATTGGAGAAATTAAAAAATTTTTTGTTCTTTTATGTAACTTACTAAAGCTTTAAAGACATATCCTACCTTAAAATAAAAATTTATATACAAATTTATTTATAAAAAAGTTATTTTCTTTTTCTGATCTGTTTTTAAGCATCATATGTTTAAAACTCATAAATCTATTAAATTCAGTTGTAGAGCACGGCATTCAATCACCTTCAACTTGTGTATTTCTTCACACAAATCATGAAATTATGATGCATTAGATGAATTGTGTGTAAATTGGCCTTCAAAAATCAACTGCAATAAACATGTCAAACTTACTAAATTAAATTTTAATGATTTTGAATTGTTGTTATTGTTAAAACGATATTTTAAGAAAGAATATTTACAAGGTTGCATTTTGTTGTAATTATTGAGGTAATTGTGTACATTGGAATGTTTCTAAATACTGTATGCATTTTAACACATTCACTGCCACTAGTAATATCAATAATTCCTACCTTAGTGACAACTACACTTTTGTGTTTTTACTTAATCCAGGTGTTTAATAATTATATTTTAATGTGTGTTTAATTAGCCCGTTGAAGCTACTTATAATATATGTCCCACCAGCTTCTCGTGCAGTATGTAGTAAATTTTATTCCTAGTGTGACACGTGACCCACTAACCTTATGTTGCTAGTGGTAGGGCAAATAGGATTTTAGGTTGTATCTATAGAAATATTGAATACAAGTCTAAAGAGGTTATGCTTTCATTGTTAATGCATTATCTTTTTTTATATTTAACAATGAGAACAGTAGGACTAGGGGTCACAAATATAAATTTTGGCAGGGTAGTAGTTATCTTCAGCTAACACTGTTTAATTTTTTTAACAGGGTGGGTGGCCTTTGGAATGGGTTGCCTTCAGATTTTGTAATGGTAGTAAATTTAAGTGAATTGAAGAAAAAGCTTAATAAATATATGAATGAAAAGGGCTGGCTTTTATTTCTTTTTAATCATTTCAATTTAGTTTAGAGGATGGAACAGCCGAGATGGACCAACAGGTCCCATGTTGTTCCAAAATATTATGTTATGTTAATTTTGTGAAATATATTCCAAAGAAAAATGTCCAAAAGAAAATTGAGAATACAACATATACAATTTAACTAATTTAGCTAATTGTCTAGCTATGACCCACCAGTAGGGCACATGGCAGTGAGCGTGTTAACAAAAAATTTTTTTATATGTGTGTATGTGTGTAGTAGATTAATTATATGAGACTAAAATATCTGTAATAGCCTAAATGTTTATGAAGTTTCAAATTTGAAAAAATGCATCAAGATCAATAAAAACAGAATATGTCAGAAAACCATTTTTTGTCTCTGTAGCATTCTTGCTGTATGTCGCATCAGGTGTAGGGGTAACTGCTGGAGTTCATCGATTATGGGCACATCGATCTTATAAAGCAAAGTGGCCATTACGTCTGTTATTGGCCTTCTTCAATTCGGTTGCTTTTCAGGTAAGAAGGCAGTCAGTCAGCATAACCCTTATCATCCACGCTAAGGGATTGACTGACTCTCTTATAACTCACCCACAATTAAATTACATGATTTAGTTGGAGGAATATTTTGTTGTATCACACAGACTTGTACCTGGCTCACTACCTCTGAAATTCAGAGCTCTATGACAAGACCATCTCCCACCCTATAAAGAAAATCTTACTAGGAGATTAATATTTTAAGTAGCTAATAGAGTGTGCTTTGATTTTATTTTTTCAATTTTTTTTTGTTTCAGTGTTGTAAAAAAAAAGACAAAAATGTAACCAGCTAACAAAATACACCATGTCTAATACTGGGACAAAGTTAAGTAATTTTTATGGTTGTTGTTTCTAAAATATATATTCACGGTTCTTTGAGAAAAGTGTGTATTACCCTCGTTTCTGTGGTGGTAAATATCTCTTAATATTTTTATTAGTGCATGTATCAATTAATGTGCTATATAGACTACAGAGTAATTCATTCAATTTTTGTGGCCAAGTATTTTGAATCGGTGTTTCTTACTGACAGAACTAATCAACTGATAAGATCTTTGTTTATTTTATACCTGTTAGAAGTTACATTCAAGTAATTTCCATATGAAATAAATCTTTAGTTTTATGTTATAAATATTTTATTGCAGTTTTATAACCTGAATTATGTATAGACTTGAGCTTTGTACGTCTTTAAGCTTTTTACACGCACCCATCCTCTATATTTTTAAAACAACGCAGCTTCACGTTATTAGTTTAGGAGTTTTGATCACAAGTTATCTTGTGTTTAAAATGTTAATGTAACATGGATATATGTATATTTGTTGATTGAAAGATTGTGATTAATTTTTTTGCTTACTGAAATATAAGTGTCTAGAAAACTAGTTGATATTCCTCTTGCATAAAGGTTGAGAGATGGTAAGATGTGAAGTAACTCTAATTAGTACTTCTCTCAACAGAATGACATATATGAATGGTCCAGGGATCACAGGGTTCACCATAAATTTTCAGAAACTGATGCTGACCCCCATAATGCTAAGCGAGGGTTCTTTTTTTCACATATTGGATGGCTAATGGTAAGAAAACATCCTGACGTCATTGAAAAGGGAAAGATAGTGGACTGCAGTGACATCTTGGCAGATCCAATTGTTAGATTTCAGAGAAAGTAGGTATATGAGTTAGTTATTTTTTGAGTATGTTTCTATTTATTTACATCAAATCTTATGTAATATTCTGTATATAGTTTCATTGCCATAGAAGGTAATTTTTGAGTGGTCAGGCCATTGCAACACCTAAAAAATGTGATACATGATGGGGGGGGGGGGGTCTGGAGGCATGCTCCCACCCCAAAAAATTTAATGCTATGAGATTGAATCTTGAGCCATTTTAACTACAACTACTTCATACAAACAATGTAGTTTATTAAATTAAAATAAGTAAGTTGTAGCTATACATGCCATGAAAAAGTGGTCAGGCTATGGCCTGTTATGGCCTTACCCTTTCCTACAGCCTTAGAGGGGTGTCGAGAGCCAGCCTAGACCCTGGGGTCAGTGATATCATCGGGCCCCCCCATTTCATTCTATTTATTAACTTTTGCTCATTTTTCATAAAAGAAACTATGATGACAAATTTCTTCATGAATCCATAAAATAGTAAAATAGTTTTGGAATATCCCATTGTCGGGCCCCTCAACAGACCCCAGGGCAGCTGCCCCCTTTGTCCCCCTCCCATCAGCCCTGTATCTTTCGTGAAAACATGCAGTACTTCTCGATAAAATTTAATTACTTACATTATGCAAATTGCAGTTTCGTGTGATGTTGAGTAAGTTACTTAAACTTAAATAACATAATGTGTGAATTCTATACATCAAGCTTGTGCAGTAATAACAGCCCTCTTACCAACCCTATAATCCATATATTTTTAAGCTCTCCCCATATTTAGGGCAGAAATGTTTCATTTTTCTTATAAATCCCTATAATTGACAGTATTCCCATTTATTTTCACTAAACAGTGTGTTTAATGATAAATTATGTTTTAACTTGTGTTCTTATTCATATGGCAGTGTTTCTGATGACAGTAAGTTTCAAGGTTTTACACTAATAATTAGTTTTTACCTTTCAATACAAAATATGTATATATATTTTTTTTTCAGTGGTTTTAAGCTTAGGTTGTCATAAGATATTTCAATTGAGGCCTTATAAAATGTGAAAATAAGGTATATTTCTAATGAAAGCGTAAATCCATGTTGTTTTAGTGAAAAAAAAGTAAGTAGGGGTTGTGCAAAAAGATTATTCATATATAATTTGATTTCAACCTCAATTTTGAGTCTGAAATGATTTTGAAAGTCACTTGAAGTCCATGACTGTGGATTTGATTTGTTTTGTTACAAAGTACTCAAATATTGGTCAAAAAAGTTGACTAAACTAACAATACTTCATAGATCTGCACAACTTACAAAGGTAAAAGTGTTTAATAATGACACAAAATCTTTTGAATATTCTGTAATACATTCAGAGCTGGTTTAGATGTATATAGAACAAGATGTGAAAAGTTTGCTTAGAATCATTAAGACTTTTCTAAAACAACGACTTGCAAAATAGAATAATTCCAACAAATTGAATTTAAAGCCTCCTACATAGATCTGTGAATAGAAAGTGACTGACTCTAGTACTAGCATTGAGGGTATTATTAAGACTAAACCCAAGTGGATGCTGCCAACATCTGGCCTAAAAACCCTGATTTACATAGACCCGTGAATAGAAAGTGGCTGACTCTAGTACTAGCATTGAGGGTATTATTAAAACTAAACCCAAGTGGATGCTGCCAACATCTGGCCTAAAAATCCTGATTTACATAGACCTGTGAATAGAAAGTGGCTGACTCTAGTACTAGCATTGAGGGTATTATTAAAACTAAACCCAAGTGGATGCTGCCAACATCTGGCCTAAAAACCCTGATTTACATAGACCTGTGAATAGAAATTGGTTGACTCTAGTAATAGCATTGAAGGTATTATTAACACTAAACCCAAGTGGATGCTGCCAACATCTGGCCTGAAATCCTGATTTACCTGGCCATCTGACAGCGACAGCATTCAATAACTTTGGCTTGAAATTAATACCAACCATATTATTAACAGTGAGAATAGTAGGACTAGGGGACACAAATATAAATTTTGGCAGGATAGAAGTCATCTTCAGCTAAGACAGTTTTATTTTTCTATTAGGATGATTGGCCTTTGTAATGGGTTGCCTTCAGATGTTGTGAAGGTAGTACATTTAAGTGAGTTTAAGACAAAGCTTGATAAGAACATGAATGATAAGGACTGGCCTTAAGATTTTTTTTTAAATTTATTTATTAATAGTTTTAGTTTAGAGGATAGAACAGCTGAGATGGACCAGTAGGACCCACGATATCCCAAAATGTTGTTATATGTTATCCACAAAAGTAAGAAAATTTAAGTTTTATAAGATATGGTGATAATTATTAGGAAATCATGAAACAAGTTATGGATTTAAAGAGTTAAGAAATGAGTTGCCACAAAGAACTATTTCTCACAGGAAATTCAAGATTGAGCAACTATATCTAAAAGTGAATGGTACCAATTGACTGTCAAAAATGGCAGTTAATTTTTTTTGGAAGCTACTATGGTTGGTTGAGCTGAAATTTGTTATGCCTATTGGAACTCTGTTACAAAAGCTTTACACTTTTTTTTGTAAATAATGGTCCTGTTTTTCATGCTCTGTGAGATGAGCTCAGAGAGTTTGTGTCGATTATAATGAACGGTTTCTGAAACAAAGTGTTGTTAGTTAAAAAAGATGGAAAGCCTATATATTGTGGAGTACGACAAGACAAAATCAGCTGTCCTCCAGTGAGATGGAAATAAGAGGGCCAATAAGAAGAGCACTGTCACGAAAATTAGCCGAATATATCTGTGTTAAGCACAAAAACAGTTCTTCACAATCATTAAAAAGTACTTGTTCTCATGTGCACCTCTAGAAACTGGAATGCTCAAACACTTAACAATTCTGCATCTGAAGTCAGAAGCAGGTGTGTGAACTATAATGCATTTAACAGAAACATTTAGTGCCAGGGCAGGAGGTGGAATTCATCACAGATGAGTAGAAATTTATTGTACGGAGGACATTCTTGCAGACTGGTTCCTTTACACTGATGAAGATACACAGGAGAAAATGCATGTTCACGATGACTATTATTAGAGGAGAACCTTTGCAAAATCTTCAGCTTTTTCATGTTATCTAAACTTAAGATCCTACAAAGCCTCATTAAATCTGTCATATGGAAATGCAGATGTTGAGAGATCATTGTCAAAACTAAATAAGAATTCAGTTTCCATAAAAGCAGACTGGCCTAGGCCTAGAAACTACCAAATGTATTCTTCTTTAACAGTTTTCTGCCAGTACTCTTCTATTGTGCATGGAAATTGAAATAAGAGTTACCATATTAAAATATGACACTGAAACATTATTAATGTAAAAAAAAAAGTATTTTTTCTTATGTTTTGTTCCAAATAATGTGTTCTTTATCTACCTTGTTTTATAGACACTTTCCTTATGTTTTCAACAATAATATAATGTGTTCTTTATCTGCCTTGTTTTATAGACACTTTCCTTATGTTTTCAACAATAATATAATGTGTTCTTTATCTGCCTTGTTTTATAGACACTTTCCTTATGTTTTCAAAAGAGTATAATGTGTTCTTTAT